CTGAGTTGGCGTTGGATCTAGCCGCTCTCAACATGCAGAGAGGAAGAGACCATGGACTCCCTGGTATTTAATTAGTCTTTTTTACATTTAGAATGACTTTTGCTGACAAATGTAGGATTTTGCAGGCATTACAGATCATATATTTAAAACATTGCAAAGTGTCTTTTTAGGCTACAATAAATGGCGGAAGTTCTGTGGGCTGTCACAACCACAAAACCAGGCACAGCTGGCTGAAGTTCTGAACAACACTGATCTGGCTGAGAGACTTCTGGATCTCTACGGCACACCTGACAACATTGATGTGTGGCTGGGAGGAGTGGCCGAGCCGTTTGTCCGTGGAGGAAGAGTGGGACCCCTGTTTGCCTGCCTGATTGCCACCCAGTTCCAGAAGATCCGCCAAGGAGACCGGTATATAACATAAATTACATTGTTATGGATGTGGAGATATTTGTGTCACCTGCATCTTTATATTCACTTTTACATGACTTTAAATGTTCCCAAACTCCCCAATTTCAGACTTTGGTGGGAGAATGAGGGAGTCTTCACTGAGGCCCAGAGGGAGTCCCTGAGAGAGACTTCACTTGCTCGCATAATCTGTGACAACACCGGTATTACTGAAGTACCTAAAAGACCCTTCCAGTATCGGTCTCGAGGACCCGGTTACACCAAGTGCCAGGACATCCCTGCCTTTGACCTGAGTCCATGGAAGGAGGGTGGTGAGTTGATGGCCTGAAATCCTCTCTGACACAGTTGACCGAAGACGATTAGTGCCAGCATTAAAGTATTTTTAAAATACTGATTTGTTTTCCTATTATTTTCTTCTTCTAGCAGGAGAATCAAGTGGATCTGTGGGACCCCGAGGTAAATCTACCACTTACTGTACTATTATACATAAATACTTAAGATGATATACTAAAATATTACTTTAAATACCACAATGGGAAAGTTGCTTTGGTATGACTTGACTTTTTTTTCACACAGGACCCAGAGGACCACGTGGTCTGAGAGGCCCCCCTGGACCTCCTGGCAACGCGGCGAGAGTTGCGTTCTCTGTGCGACTGGGCAACAACTTCCCCAAAGCTGGTGCACCAGTCGCCTTCCGGGAGGTCATCTACAATGGACAGAACAGCTATGACACCAAGACAGGCTACTTTACCTGTCAGAGTCCAGGTGTTTATGAGTTCCAGTTTTTCTGTACCATCAACCAGATCTCTGCCAGCATGGATTTGATGCGTAACGGAGAGCTGATTCTGCACTCATTCACCACCAAGCAGAACGGTTACATCACAGCCAGTGGCAGCGCTTACGTTAAGCTTGAGAAGGGAGACAGGGTCTGGCTGTTGGCCAAACAGGGTAACAACGGTCTGACCAGTGACAGTATCTTCTCAGGGCATCTGCTGTTCACTGAGTAGGAGACTGTATAGCTGCTGACCCACGACATCATCAAAACACTGCAAAAAGTCTGTTTTGACCAGTTATTTAGTCTAAATTAATTGAAAGGAAAGCATCTTATCACGTTCTAGTACAGTTACCTCCACTTTACTAGTAATGAAGGACCTGGGCACCCACACAGGGGCTCTAAATTATTCTCATTTTCTCAGGTTAAAGGTCAGCAGAGCTTTTCTGAGAGTTTGCTGAAGTCACCAATGTACTAATAGGAATTATAAATAGGGAAGCTGCCTCTCTCTAAAGTAATTAAAGACAAAATAATTCCTTAAAATGATTTATTTGTGGTGGACCTAGCTAATGGAAAAGCACAATGTTTGAAAACCTGTGGCATTTTTTTTACTGTTTAAAAGCTTTTTTTTGAATGAAGAAATATTTATAATGCACTGATATCTGCAGAACTGTAAAAGAGCAAAGCTGATTCTACATATTATTCTCTTGATTACTGAAATACTACTGAACTACTGAATACTAATGTGAAAAAGCAATACCTAAATTGACATATAATATTTTTCTAATTTCTTTTGAATCAATCATTTTATGGTATTTTCCAATTGCCTTTATCTTTTCTGAAATGTTTACACTTCAGTACAACTTTTACAGCCTGTGTCTGGCAAGTGAATGTAAGCTCTCAGGTAATCTTTAAATAAGCTACAGATGGAAAATACAAAATTTCCATCTTTTGTCTAAGACTTTAACTTTGAAATTAATAAATGTTTGTTGCACAGATGAATAACTGCCTCTGACTGAAATCAATGATGATATAGAACAAGAGTTTAGAAGATGAAATATTTGATGATGTTCTTAAGCAGACCACTAGATGGCACTGACGTACAATTTTTTAAGGACAGGAAAGCAGACCCCGATATTTGGGTGAAATATAGCTCCTGCACAGCATATAGGACTAATGGTGGTTGTCAAGTTGAACTGTTGATTTGTAGCCTATATTGCTATATTGCAAAATAAAGCAGAAAGTTTAATCTTTGCTTTAAACACATACAGTTTAACAGTTTCAGTTAAAGCAAAGGAAAGTATTAAAGTAAGCTGATCACTTGGAGCTAAATTAAGAGAAAGATTGTTCAGAATTTGTATTTATTTATGTTGTATCTACAATATCTTAATTTAAGAACGTTGTTTCCCCCTAAGCATCTTGATATTGATTAGAAAGAACCTGCTGGGAGAAACACAGTTCAGTAGCTGAGTTATTTATACTATAATCAGGAATGCAGGACAATCCCCAAAGTTTCTATAACAAATCCTGAAAATCATGAAGATCATCCAGAGCAATCATTCAGTGATCTACAGGAACAAAGGATTTACTGTACAAAGGATTTACAGTATGTCATAAAGATGTCATCTTGAAAACGGGTAGATGGTTTAGCAAATAGTTTTGGTGGGTTTTACCTGAGGTACATCTGTGATGCTGTAAGCCATGGATTCAATGTGACTTATTATGTGGGAGTGCCTTCATCACTTGGAGGTGAGACGTCTTTTTATATCTGAAGAACCAACAAAACATTTTTTATCAATCAATTATAAGTTTCATACAGTAGTTAAATGCAATCTGTGGACTGCTAGAGTCCAGGGTGAGCTGCTTTTAAGGGTTGTTTTAGCACGTTTTGATGTGCACTGGCATCACTACATACCAAATAACTGTTCATTTTTAATTGTAAACTTGCCAAATATACTTTTTTATTTTATTTTATTTTACAGCAGACATTTAATTGCTTGAAAACCTCCAGGTGTTATTAATTTTAATTAATGATACCTGGGCCAGATTTAGCTCTAGTGGCTCTCTGCCATAACATGTGACAAAGTTCTTTGTTTTGACTGTATTGTTATGGTAGAAACTCTGTTCTTGTCTGTCTTGTTTAACCACCTCACATTGCTGGTGGTTTTGTAGTCTGGACACTGGTATGTGCATTAAACAAAAACTAACACGACTGACTAACTACACAAGTAAATGAAAGTGAACCATCAAGGTCTGCAGTGATTGTGAAACTCGATGATAGAAACAATTTACCAGAAAACAAACAAAAAAATCTCTATTTTATGAAACAAATGAAAAAGTCCTACATGTTGTAACAGTAATATTGTGATATTCAGGAGTCACTTTTGAACTTCTGAGACAGTTTTACATCAATAACTCTTACAAGGTTTTTTATAGGCTTATTATGTCAACACATTATGACACAAAGCATCTCTAGTTCAGAATCAGAATCAGAATCAGAATTCTGTTTATTGCCAAGTAGGTTTTTGCGCCTATGAGGAATGTGACCTGGTGCAATTGCAATGTGGTGCGATAAAATTATACAATACAAATATACAAATATACTAATTATTCAAATCCAACAAAATCACACAGAAAAAGTAAAGTTACTTCAAAATATAAAATAGATAAAGATAAGAAAGATACAGAGAGAAACTGTGCAGAAGTTGTTGCATTGTGTCCTTCTAAAACTGATAAAATCTTTAAGGAAATGCTGCAGCTCCAACAGGCCATGTTTGTCACAGAGCTGAATCCAACATGTTTGTTCAAGTTAGCAGATGATGGTTTTTGATAATAAGAAAAATAGGCTAAAGCCGGTCACTTGTCGCCGCCCTTAATTGCGGATGCCGACCACTCCCCAGGGGGAATCTACATCTTTGCCTAAATAAAGCAAACAAAAAACGAGTGTGCAATGTGACGACTCGATAGGAAGACGTTGTGGCGTCGCATTAGCTTCTGTTGTTTTCCTACACAGTGGAGAGGAGGGAGCGGGAACCAGCTGGCTGCGTCTCCAGGCACCGCCCCCCAAACACACACACACACACCACAACGCACGACGGCAACGCACACACCGCACAGCACCACACCACACACACCACGCCCCTCCTGACCTAAACGTGGACACCAGTGCCATCCACAGAGAGTGGCTCTGGTGTCCATGGGAGCAGGGAAAATGCCGGAGAGACGAGCGGCACCGATACCCATTGTTTGGTTTAGCAGTCACTGATCCCGCCCCCCCGACACACACTCACCTCCTCCCCAAAACACACGGGCTGACCGTCTCAGCGGGTTAAATTGATTAGAAAGACGTTTGTGGTTTGACTAATCCCCCCCATTTTCGCCCCGGCTCTCCGCTTCACCAAATTAGAAAAGCCACACATACAGACGGCAGCAGGTCCAAATGTGCGGGTTGTGATAACCACGACCGAGCCTCTCGCACCTGTGGGGCTGGAGGGAGAAAGGTTATATAAGTTATATAATATGACAGAGGGATTTTCTATTAATCCTCTGTTTAAAACGTTCACATATACAATCATAATCCCTCATATTAAATGATCAATATAGCTCCATGGTTGATAAAGCTAAAAAAAAATATAGGCCTAGGTGAACATTGTGAGATATTACCTGGAAGATGGCTTTTTAAATGTGATTGTGATTTGTGTCTTTTTGGGGGTTAAAGAGAAACTTCCTTCTGAACTAAAAAAATAAAACCATTAAATAAATACACAGCATGCAGGTACATAACATGGAGAGAAGGCGCACACATGACCGACTTTACCTGATAATAAAAACCAAATCTTGTCGTGATATCAGAAACCTGTTCGATCAAATATCAACTAGAAACGTATGTGGTGACTCAGATGATGTCTGTGTGTCACCTTACATTAATGCTGTGCGAGGGTGAGGCAACTAATGCTCAAATTAAAGGCTTATAAGATTAGATGGGTTTATCCTCACTCCTCCCGTACAGTGATTGTAACGCAGCGAGGTCAAATCCAAAGTTTTTAATTATTATTTTCTCTTCGAGGTTCCTTTTAGTTTGCAGAGGAGGCATCGGGAGCTTTGATTTCCTGCGTGCCTTCTGGGTCGATTAACTGAGTTTTTGAGCAAGGCACCGAAATCAATCATGTGGTTGCACAAGCTGCAGTGTTCTCTTCAGTGGTACCGTCAAACAACCGATAAATCTACACAAGTAACATATAATTATTTCGCTTCTCTCTGCATTTCAAAACGTCCGCCTGGAAGTTTTGCAACTAGTGGAGGAATTTTTATTAAAGTGTGTCATCATATATGGATTTGTCACGGTTAAGCAGAGCTGTCAATCATGTTATGGGGAAGTGTGTGAGGGACAAGGCGACAGGGCGGAGACTCTGCAGCAGGATTCCCCAAGACTGCTCTCATAATTGGGGGAACATCTGACTTTGTCCCGCGCTGGCAGATGGTGGGTTGAGGCGGGATCCAAGGGGGGAGATTTACATCCATTGTCCAGGCGCACAAACTCCACACAGAGACAATAGTATCGGTAAGGGGCAAGGAGCCAGGGCTGGAAAAAAAAAAAACCCAACAACTTTCCTTTTCAACGCCAGAGGAACAGGAGCGGAAATTAATTTTTTGTCTGCAAATAAAAATGCCCCAAAACATTTCGTTTTGTTGGGCCTAAACACAGAACATTTTGACTCAAAAATCCCATAAACACAAATCTGATTAATATTAAATGAGGCGCTTATGGATTTACATTGTTGACAGAAACAGTAGAAATTGACACTTTTTAGGGTTTATTACAGCCCAGTGCTGTAGTGCCCAGATTGCTTTACAAGAGCCGCTATGAAATTACAAACCAGCAGTTAAAGAAACTTTAGACTCTATCCAAAAACGTCTACTTCTATATCCACGCAATATGGCTTTTGATTTCTGTATAGTTCTCTAATAGCCAAACAACGCCTTATCAGCGTTATTTGTAACTGATTTCATGACCAGTTTGGATTTGATTAGACAGTCTGTTGCATTGATTAAGAACTAATTTCGGGCACTGTCAGGCAGCGGTCCAAACGCCAATCAGAGCGCAGCCCTGTCTGCCGCTGGCGGAGATTGATGGACCAACCAGACGGCCATTGTTGCGGCTGACACTGATGCGATGCCTCCTCAGCGGAATCACTGCGTTCAAAGGAGCAGACGGTGGAGCTGCTGAATACGCGCCTGTCGAGAGCGCACTTGTGTTAAATTCTGACTTGAATGAATAGACCAAACAGGATTTGCTGTACTGACTATTCAGGGCAGTAGTAGCACAGCCTGTACAGAAGAATTTGAACCCACATTTACAAGTGGCTTTAATAATCTATAACATTCAGAAATGAACACAAATAAAACGTTTTGTGAATGAAATATAACCTTTTGTTAACAACATTTTGAGGATGAATAATAGTAATTGTAAGCCCCCCCCCCTTCTCTTCACCCAGACATACAAAGAAGAGCTTTCATTTCAATTTCACAGCAAATCATATATTTCTTTCTTAAAGACTTTCTGCTTTTCAATGTGTAAAATGTTTCCATATTATCGCCCCGGTCCAACTTAATGTGTGTAAAGTTTGTTGCAAGAGTCACTGGTTGGATGCTGAATCTGGCAGAAGTCCAAACAACGGATGCACTTTACACCAATGAGAGCATCCATTTCAACAATCGGTCCCCCATATGGCACTAAGGCCCCTCCTCCACGCTCTATCCCAGCAGAGGGTCTCATTCATGCTTCAAGACAGCGGTTCACTGTGAGCTTCCTGGCCCTCGGATCAACTGTTTTGATCCGATCTGGCCATTTGACTGAAGAAGACTTTCCTCACACACACATTTTGAAGATTATTCTGAGACGGACTCGTCCTGAACTGTCTGAGGAGTTGAGCCCAGCGAGCAGGTGATTATTTGCGATCGAACTGAAGCTGGAGATTTGCACTTGGACAATGC